TATGAAGTGGTTCCACGCTCTTCAAAACTTTCCTGATAAGAGTCCTTGCTGCTGGAGGCAGTTTATCGTCTTACCCAGGACGGTTCATTCAGTACTTGCTTTGTCTCCAGATGAAATAAATAAGAACAAACATTCTTAGAAGACATGATATTAAATTGATTAATTGATTGGTTTATTTTTTACAGCTTATCAACCATTTTCAGTTTATTTTCAGTCAGGAAATATTTTTAAATTGTAAGAACTTTTTTGGAGATATTAATGATTTATTAATAGAAATTTAATTAACCCATATATGTGGAAAGGAAGAGATGAATTCATACCTTTCCCAAGGGTATTTCGGCATAAGAGAATATAGCGAATCAGACTGTAATTAGAACTAGGCTCTCTGATTTCACCTGCCGTGCCACCATCAATTACACCAGCTGCATATCAAAACAGTCACCTATCTAAGTACTGACCAAGCTCAACGTTGTTCAGCTTCGATGATCGTATGGGAACCCATGTTTCAACGTGATATGGTCTTAAGTCTGATATTAAAGTTGTCGTCAAAAGAAGACATGGAGGGTGTAACAGCAAAATTGTCAAAATCGTGTAACAGTATAATTGACCATCCCGCACAATGTTTAATATCTAAAAAACAAAGAAGCAAGTAAATTATCAAAGTATAAAGTATATATATAAAGTATTCAATGCGAGTACGAATTATCACGGAAGCAAGTAAAAGGAAGGGAGTTCCACTGTTGTGAAGTTCGAGACAAGAAGCTGTTAAAGTAGAAGAAGCGGTTACACTCTTTCGACAGTGAACGAGATGCCAACCTAGTAGCACGCTTAAATTCATGCAATTGGGACACCAGTGAAAATAGCTCGTCAGAGCAGTTACCATGAAAATATTTGTAGAAAAGAGGGAAGCCACATTATGTCTGTCAGAAAGTGACTGGATTGGAGATGCAAGAACCTATCAGATTGCATATCAGTCTTTGGATTTTATCGAGAACCTTGAGATGAACATCGGGGGCACCAGACCATATATGGCAACAGTATTCAATGCGAGTACGAATGGTAAATTTGTAGATTTGATGGATGGAATCAGACGACAAAAAAAATAAAAACCTTCTGTCGTGACACAAAGATCCAACTTTCGTTACGGCAGATGTAGCTATTGATTCAATGTAGCTGTTCCTACCACAGGTCAGTGAAAAACGTGAGAACAAGAAGGCGCAGAGAGACGATCTCATGAAGTTGAGCATCCGCCATGATGATAGGAGGCAGGGAGGGGTTCTCTATAGTATGTAAAAGAGAGTAGTTACATTTTGACTAGCCACACATGAGCTACGATATAGTGAAACAGTCTGTCTCTAGATGACACACACACACACACACACACACACACACACACACACACACACACATATATATATATATATATATATATATAAACAGTAGCGTCCATAATATAAGGAACGGAAACAACAAAGACATAAATATATGTATTACTTAAAAAGTAATGCATGATTAACAATGAAATTTTTACCGAATAAAGATTAGAGTGTAATGCATAAATATTATACAAAGTTACAAACATTTACACAATAGTTTTTTTTTTTAAATAAAGATTAAATGAAACAAAATTTCATTGCTTATCATCCATTACTTTTTAAGTAATACACATATTTATGTCTTTGTTGTTTCCGTTCTTTTATATTATGGTTATATATATATATATATATATATATATATATATATATATATATATATATATATATATATATATATATATATATATATATGTGTGTGTGTGTGTGTGTGTGTGTGTGTGTATATGCACTCATACACAATTGTGGGTAGAAATATTTCTCCTCTACTGAATATTTGCATATTTTCTAAGGAAATGCTAATAATTTCAAGTACTGAATTCAACATAAATAGTTGATTCCATATTTAGTTTTAAATAATTCTTCAAATTTTCAAAAGTTTTGATGTATTATATTCATAGTTACAGATTTTTCTAAAAATTGGAGCAGTCCAAAATTATTTCACACCCCCTTATAGAAATTATGAAATAATATTGTTCTATGGAAATTGTAATGGTTTTTCTTAATTTGACATTTAATACAAACACTCTTTGAAAATGAAATTGCATTGACCTGATTCTATAATATTGTAAAGGCTAATAAAGAAGACAATATGTGAACGCCACGTACCGCGATAACACATTTGTTCTGCAACCATGGCGTAGACAAGAAGCTCAGAATGAAGGTTGTTGATACATTCAAACAAGGTGATGGATATGCAACACTTTCCAGTGTTTGTATGTTCCTAAATCGACAATTCTTGGCAATATCAAGAAATACGAGACCCATTGTATTGAGAATAAATTAAGACTGGCAGAAAACGGTTAATTTCTGAAAGAACGGAAAGGAAAATTATTAGAGATGTCTAAAAAATGACTCACTTGACGACAAAGAACATTGTTTATTGAGGTAAAGACATCAAGGTTGAATGTATCGCCAATGACAATCACTCATTTTCATCGAACAGGACTTCGAATTTGTCATCCAAGGAATACTCCCTAAACATCTAACCACCTAAAATGCATATTAGCTTATACCAGAAGCCATCTAGAATATGATTGTAAATATTAGGACTTTGTTTTATGGTTAGATGAAACCAAAGTAGAATTATTCGGTCATATGAACTCCCGTGATGTATGGAGGAAAGTGAATGGAGCTCACAAACCAAAAAATACCCTCGTTACAATTAAGCATGGTGGTGGAATCTTTCTATTCTGGGGATGTTTTGTTGCTTCTGGACCAGGAGAACTGTTGAGAGTACAGGATATCATGGATAAAATGAAATATTTGGCAATTCTCAAAAATAATATAAAACGAAATGCACAAAAGCTGTCTTTAGGGCGTCACTGGACATTCCAATATGACGATGACCCAAAACACACGGCTCGAATTGTTAGAAAATAGATGACAGGAAAATTAAGAAAAAAGTCTTGACTTAAACCCCATTGAAATATTAATGGGCATACTTGAAGAAAATGTAAAAGAGTGAAGTCTTTTGAATTTAGAAGTAAAAGTAATTGTCAACGAAGAATGGAGCAAAATACTTATCAATGTGTTTATTGATCTTTTAAGGAAGTATCAAAAATGATTAAAGGCAATAATCAAAAATAAAGGTTACAAAATTGCTCATTAAAATATCAGGGTCAATAATTTTGTCCTATGTTTGAAGTTTTTCAGTGTTGTTTCCTACTGTAGTTTGATATTAAAAGAAAAAATTAATTGTGGGCATCACTACACATTCGTTCAATTCGATTATTTCATCATTTGTGAAAAATGCACATGAAGTTTCCATCAAAATTGAGGTATTACAGCTTTATTTGTATATATATATATATATATATATATATATATATATATATGAAGAAATATAGTCTTAAGGTGTGCTATATTTATGGGATAAAGTGCTCAATATCAGAGATAGAGCGTGATAGTGAATATTTTTTTGATAGTTAGATGCAACGTCAGGCCTGACGATTGCATCTAGCATAAAAACAGACTGTCGCCTCTAAGTGTTGACTTTATGTTCACTTTTTTTATATATATATATATATATATATATATATATATATATATATATATATATATATATATATATATATATTATATGAAGAAATCTAGTATTAAGGTGTGCTATATTTATGGATAAAGTGCTCACTATCAGAGATAGAGCGTATGTAAATATAAATATAAAAGTGAACATTGAATTCACGGCCTGACGATTGCGTCCAGCATGAAACAGTCTGTCGCCTCTGAGTGTTGACTTCAATGTTCCCCCCGAAAGTACGGCCCTGGTATTGTTGCAGTCCTGTTTTACCTGGAACCCACGATTTTCAATAGGTGAGGAGCTTAGGCCTCAGATCCCCACCCCAGAACTTGCCTAAAATCAATTTCCAATCGACTTTTATTTCATAGTTATCGAATTTTCCTGCCTTGTCAAAATTACAGAATTTTCCAGACATCGAAAAACACGCTACCGATATATTTCCCAGAAAGATTTACATTCTAACTATCCATTCTACAGCACCCTAATGACACAGTACTTCAAACAAATAAATTGTTTAAACAACTCTACCATACGACTCTTTTTTTTCTTTTCAAATAACTGAAAATCGTGGGTTCCAGATAAAACCCGACTAACACAATACAAGGGCCGTACTTGCAGAATTTGCGTGTTAAAAGACTAGGCCACCTACCCCAATATTTTTAAAAAGTATTATTACCTATAGGGATCTAGATAAAAAAAAAAACACTAAAACAATACCAGGGTCTTGCTTTTTGGAGGGGGCTATCACACCCATTCGTTTAAATAAGTATTAATTAAAAAAATAATGGGTTCCAGTTCATATAAAAGACCACTGCAACAATACGAGGACCGTATTTTCTGGGTAGGGGCTACGCCTTCCCCCACCCAATATTTTTAAATAAATAAGTAATTACTATACTCTGTTTTTTTCAAGCAAATAAAATCGATTTATCTAAGTTAAATTTAAGTTCTTGTATCTTCTTTTCAAATTATTATTTTAATGAAAAGTAGTAAATAAATTAAGCTTTACATAGTTATTTATTTTTAACGAAACAAAAAAATATAGCCTTATTTCTATTTGAAAAATATAGGGGAGGGACTTAACCCCAAAAACCTCATTCCAGAACGGCCTTAAAATCAATTTTCAATCGACTTTTATTGCATAGTTATCGAATTTACCTACCTTATCAAAATTACCGAATTTTCTGATATTGAATCTTCCGTTACCTAAATTTCCGGGCACAATATATTTTATAACTGATTTACTTTGCAAGTTCATTTTAAACAACGTTATATTCAGTGCTCGTATTTCAAACAGGTTAACCTGTTCAAGTTGTTTGGTACGAGAAAATTAGTGGATGTTTACTAAAGATGCCCCCGTAATAGCCATGAACACTCGTCATGACCTGGAGAAAGTATAGGTTCCAGCGAGAAAGAAACAGAGAACAAACAAAAGAGAAGCGAATTGAAAGAAAGAAGCAAAAGTAAAAGCGAGCGAGTAGAGAGAGTTATGAAAGAGGACAGAGAAAGAGAGAAGCAAAGAATAAAGAAAGAGAATAAGTGAGAAAGAGAAATGTTCAGAAGAAATGTGTGAGAGAGAGAGAGAGAGAGGGGGAGAGAGAGGGGGAGAGAGGGGGAGAGAGAGAGAGAGAGAATTCTTAGAAGCATTGTTTCTAATCCGAATTTAAATCCGTTAATCGGTGAGAACTTCCCAGGTGGGTGGTCTGATAAGAGTACTTTTTTTTTTTATCTTCCCCGCCTCTCGCCGTGAGATAAACGTGGTCGTCCTTTGATGTCGGATCAAAGGCGTTGGTCGCTAAAAAGGATCCGTATTTCGCTCATCAGGGAGTGGATAAAAGCCGACATATGCTGCTGGAAGGGAAGAGAAAGTGTATGTTCACATGTTCATGTGTGTGTGTGTGTGTGTGTGTGTGTGTGTGGTAAAGTGGGAGCAAAAACTAAGACCTGAATTCTGTTTTTAGCTCTGTCAGGGTCTTTGACATTTCATGCCCTTAGAAAAGATTGCTCGCCACACGATTGTTAGTCCGCAGGCGATAGTTAGAATTTCGAAAGCACCTTGCGCTAATCCGCGGAGTTCTAAAATAAGAGAAAAGCATTTTATAAGAATAACAGTAATTATTATTATTATTATTATTATTATTATTCACTTAGATGTACACACCAAAGAGTGGCATTTATAACTAGAGAACAAGTGACAGCAAGTTTTCTCAAATAACTAGCACACTATTACTACTACTACTACTAATAATAATAAACCTTTTATCTTCCTCCGTTTACGGACTTACGGCGATATCGCCAGTTCTCGTATGATCACTGAAGTTAAGCAACGTTGAGCCAGGTCAACACCTAAATGGGTGACCACTTGGGAATACCAGGTGATGTAAGCTTGGATATACGGGGCGTGTAATGGATAAAGGCTCTGAATTATTAATTGGAAAGCCGAGTTGAAACATCGGTTCCCGTACGATCATCGAAGTTAAGCAACGTTGAACATGATCAGTACATAGCTGGGTCACCACTTGGAAATGCCAAGTGCTCTAAGCTTGGATGTGAGGGTGGTGAAATCAATAATCGTTCGGAATTTTTAATAGGATAGCCCAGTTTCAATCCCCGTTGATTCGTTATATTCACTTAATGCGCAAATACACCATTGGGAAAGGTATAGATCCACCTCTTCTCCCCTAGCTATGGGTTAATTAGTAAGACTTGTATCGCTAAAACCATTATTATCTAAATAAAAAAACCTTATAATATAAGATTTTTTTTGGCTTTAAATAACCTGCAAAGGGTTGATAAACCGAACAAAATGAATGAATCTGAATACTGTCTTCTAATAAGGACTTTTTTCGAGATATCATTGTCGCTGTAACCAGCTAAATATTACTAATATTATATGAATTCATATTTGGAAAAATCCCACTTGCTCGCTGATAAACAGCATAGCATCATGAATAAAAGGCCACAAACTTAAATAAATAAAGTTTTATCGTCAAAATTTTATTGTTAAGAGTAACGACTAAAGTATTTCTTATTATTTTATTAAATTTTTAATCCTTTCTCCACGAAATTTTGGTTATTTTAAGTTGAAAAACACATTGAATTGAAAATTATTGCAAAAATCAAACGATAGTCGAAGTTGAATGAAATTTTCAGGACTTATTCAGAAATGAATGTAATTATGTTAGAAATTCTTTTTTTTCAGAAAATTCTTTTTTCAGAAATTGGTAAAACCTTTTTTTTACATATGTTACACGTCACTTAATTTCATGAAATTTCGAGAAATTAAATTGAATTATTTACATCGTTCTGACCGTTGTCCTCATCTTTATTGTCATATGCACGACGTTTCGTCCGTTGTACGCCCTGGCCTTCTTCAGCTGATTGGAATTTCGTACTGGACACTTTATTTCATCCACTGTGCTAGTAACGTCGTGAATATAACAATAAAGATGAGGACAACAGTCTGAACAATGTAAATAATTAGAGTACATCTCAGAAACATAGACAGTAATTAAATTGCAATCTCAAAATTTGTTTTTTTAGCTAAAAGCAAGACTCCATGGAAGATGGAAATATTCATTTTTTTTTCAATCTATTCATTACTCATTTCCTAAAAATCAGCTCCAAATCTTAAAATAATAAATGCAATAGAACTGTATTATTTAATTAGAAATGCTTTTAATTGCTTTTATAAATAAGATTTATTACGGACACTATTGTCTTAAGAAAAAACATTTTAATGAATAATGATATTTTACAAGAATTGTTTTCATTTAAAAAAAAAAAATTAATTACAATAATCTATATATTATAAATCGTTTAAATTTCTGCATGACTTCAATGCACCCAATATTTTTGTTATTAGTTAAAAGCAAGAATGCTTGGAGAATGTAAAATATTTTTTTAACTACTACTTATTTTCCCAAAATCTGCTCCTAATTGTAAAATTAAAAAAAAAAATACAATAAAACTATGATATTACTTAATTAGTAAAGCTTTGAATTGCTTTTATAAATAAAACTTATTAACGACGCTATTGTCTTCATAAAATTTTTTAATGAATAATGAATTCTTACAAGAAAAGTTTTGATATTTTTTTTATTAATTTTAATTATAATACTTTATAAAAATATAAATCGTTTAAAATTCTGCATTGCTTCAATCTGGTTAGGTGATATTGTTATCAAGTAAAAACTACATTTACGAATAAAAAACTGAAAAGGTCAATAAATGTCATTTACAGCCAACATCTTTCAAATTTTTAAAAATTAAATTTTTTTTTATGTATATAAAATATGTAAAAATTGCGTAAAACGTAAAAAAAATACGTAAAATATTTATATATATATAAAATACGTAAAAATTAAAATTATGTAACTTGCCCCTGTTTGAATGTAAGGTCAACCATACACGACATAATCAGAAAATAGGAGCGATAACTATAGTAAATTTAAATTCAACATTCCTAAAATTAGATTAAGGCGAATATTTTCCAACATTTTAAAGATTATTGAGTACTTAAAAATTATATATAAAAGACGCTCACCCGTAATTTTCTCAAAATTTTATCACTAATTGTTAAGTGACAAGCGATGGTGATAAGCGCGTAATCACTGTTACTGTTTGTATTAAAAATCCATTTCTCTGTTATTTTAAACTTAAAGTAAAAATATTTTTGTCAAATCAGATTAATTATACTTTCAGTCAGTTAATAGTCTTCAAATAAATTTTCAGAAAAGTATATTTTATTTTTGAAAGATTTTTAAAACCGAGAATTAACTTTTGTTTACAAATGTATCAAAATGGCCAATTTTTTTGAAAGAGACTAAAAATGTTGAGATTCTAATCAATATAATTTCTATTTAAAATACATCAGAGTATATTGCTTACTAGAAATAATAAATTTAATCATTTAGCCTTCAATTAAAACTAAAATAAAGGCTGCAGGAATGCTTTTTCATTTTTAAAAAATCATTTTAAACTATGGGTATTGAAGATTCAGTCGAGGTACTTAAATTATATACATGCGACCAGAACCAAAACTGGCACGTGACCGAGTGGTGAAAAATGTTGCTTTTTCGGATCTCAGTTTGTTTTTTTAATCAAGGAGTTAAATTCTTGAAAATAAAAGCATCGGGCGATTAACCGAGAGTTCGGCACCGTAGAGAAGTAAAGACCATACGATAGCTTGACCCAAAACTTGTGAAAGAAATTAGGTTGAAAAACTGTTCGAAAACTACCGATGGTTGTCCTCTTATGTTTTCACAAGGCTCCGATAAACTTCAGGTTGACTCGATGAGTAATGAATAAAAACACATATGTTTGAATAGCCACTTTAGCAGACGGACAAATTTAGCATTCATATAAAATCACGTACAGATAAAGTAAACCATATCAATTTTGCAGCAAGGAAACAACTATGACGTGGTTGACATCAATATAGTTAATGTATCATATTTACCTAAATTCGTTCAACAGGGATTAGCTTGACGCCCTTGTAGATGGACAAACTTAACATTCATATGAATTGGCGTATAGGTAGGTAAGTGTAGCCAATGTTGTAACAATGAATCAACTGTAAACTGGTTCACATTCTTATAAGTCCAGTACTTGATTGGCGGTAAGGTCTCATCAATTTACAATGAAATGATTAGATGTAACCATAAGTTCCATGCTAAGAATTGCTTCTCTCACACTTCTCGCCTGTGGAAGCGAATTCCACCTTGATTCCCAATCAACTTTGATCTTCAAAAATTTAAATACAATGTCTTCTTGATTCCACGCCCGGAAACAAAGGGAAAGGTTTTATTGTTCCTTTCCATTAATAATGTATTGCTTTTCTCATTTTCTCTCACAATAAGTAATCCATTGCGTCTTAAGGTGTTTATTGCCTTTCTTGAGGTGAAATGATTAAAAAAAATCTTTAATATTTTCATGGGGAATGAAAAAAAGATATTTACTAAACATATCTTCGTATAACAAAGCGAGATTAACGGAAATGCATGACTGGAAGATCGTATAAGCACAAACATCTAGGTGCTAATCAGCTAAGTAGCCCTGCATTTCACTTTGATCGTGACTCCAGCTTTTGGTGCCATGGTGCATTCAGCAGAGTTGCACTTTAAAGCCCAGGATGGTTTTGTAGATGTTGAACAAACCCAGATGTGCCTGAGCTGGTTCATGCAACAGGGATTAGCTATTCAGGCATAGTTAGGAGGAAGTGTTTTGTTTCCGGTATCTGTAAAGGTAGTCTTTTTTATGATTCGGATGATAGGGCGCTCTAGAAGTTCCTCAAAATAACATTAGGCCTTGTTTGTTCCCCATCACTGGCCCAAATCTCAAAATGGAACCATCAGAATTTATTGTTTGAAATTTTAGCACAGGCCCAAAAAGACCCCATATACTTTAGATTACCAATATGGGATAATAAATATATATATATATATATATATATATATATATATATATATATATATGGAGAGAGAGTGAGAAAGAGAAATAGATAAACATGGGAGAGAGATAAATTTCAAATTCTGTCTGTCCTTCCATGTATCTGAACCCCTCTAATTCAGGCCACACTTGTAAAGGACACACGGGAAAATGCCAGGTATGTAGAACATGGATATATTATACATTTTTGTGAGACTGGGATTGAAAATATACTCTTCATCTGGTGCTTGAATATCTAGCATTGGGAATTGTATCCGGATAAAATAACTGAAATAATTAGTGATTTCAAAAGTTTTAAGTTGTTTATAATTTTTATTGAGTTTCAAGTAGCACAAAAACTTCGTAAAGAAAAAAAAAAGTTTTAAATTCACTTAAAAATATCTACAAAACTTTGTTATTTGAAGAAATCAGTTTTATTTCTGCAAAATGCCAAGGAATGAATCAGATTTAGAGAAAGAGGTTTCTTTCTGCAGAGTTTTTCATTTGAAGAATTCAGTTCAATTGAAGTTTCATGAAATTTGTGATTTGAAGAACTCAGTTTTCGGCCCAAATCAGACTTTCAGCCTAACGTGGTATTTGGTCGGAATTGGATTTATAGCCCAAATCAGAGTTAAAGTGAAGTTTTGAAGTTCTATTGAGTGAATTGAAATAATCAAAGTTATTTCTTCTCTTTTCTAATCTGGAACAGAAGTTCCTTTAGTTACTTTAGCAATCCACAGGAACGAGCTTAAAAGTTCGCACAGATTTCAGCTTTTAAGTTAGTATATATATATATATACTGGGTGTGGAAGAATTAGAAAACAGAAGCGTTACTAAGGAGCGAGAACAATAGAAGAGAAACCAGGACCCCAGTAGATAGCGATTGACACTGCGTTTAAATTTTTGAAGATTAAACATGACTGGAAAGCATGGAACCGGAAGAGAGTTCCACAAGTGAGAAGTGCAAGAAAAGAAACTGTTAGCATAGAACTTACGGTTACATTTAGCTAACGCAACTGTAAATTCATGATACCTCGCTTCCAGTCTAGTGCTGTAATTAAATTCATAAAGTCTAGGTACCATAGCGAAGTGCTCATCCGAACACTTA